TCGTCCCTGAAAGGCAGCCGTGTGCCCCCTTTTGCAGCGGGGCAACCCTCTGGTGGCAGCGAAGGTGCCCAGAGCGTGGCAAAGGCGCCTTTGCGTTAGCCCAAAGGTAGAAGGCCGCTTCAGGCTTCTTCCGTCGCTTCTCTTGATTCCCTTAGCTGCCTTTAAAATAGGCAATTCTGCCTGGCCGGTGTAGAATATAGTGACCGAGTAGTGTTATTTTGCTTCGCTTGCTCCCTTCTTACCTGCTGCCTGTACACCTATCTCCTGGGAAAAACAACTCAACAATTATATGTTTTTTTTTTTTTTTTCCCCCAGAGTTCATTCCCAAATGTGGATTCTCTTTCTCTGTTGGTTTTGGGTTACTGCTGAGGCTTCTGCTTTTGCTCTTTTTCCTTGGTTGTTTTTAGTGTTGCGGTTCCTTTCTTTTAAAGGTAGTCCGGTACCAGATGTGATAATGAAACTTGGAAAGAAGAGGGAAATTAGTCTGCTGTCATTGGTGGAAAATACCTGTCTTGTGAGTTTGATTTTAGGAAGAAATGAGGAAAAGCAACTGGTTTGACCAAGGAGTATGAGATTTGAAAAGCTATGTTAAAAAGGAGGAATAAAAGAAAGGAGGAAACCCCCCCTCCCCTTATTTTTGTTTTAACCTTTATGTCATTGAGGTAGCAGGGGTCAGGTCAGCCCTGCTGACCTGTTGAGCAAAACCCAACTTGGGGTGTTTTCTGTTTTGTTGTTGTTGTTTTTGTTTATATAGGGAGCAGTGCTAACCCTAGGATGATGATACATATGCAAGATTTCTAATGCCTTTTTCCAAAAGAAAGAAAACTATCATTTCTTTCTTAAAGCTGAAACTGTGGTAGGTGTGTAGTTCAGCTTTGTGTTTGGGCGTTGAGAGCACAGAGAATTGCCCAATGATTTCAGCCCTGAATTTCATTGGACACTGATACAATTAGAGCCTCGTGAATCAAAAAAAAAAAAAAAGCTGCTGGTGAGAGGCAAAGAAGAGCAGTCCTTTTCATCGAAGAAGCAGCTGAGCTTTCCCCAGCATTTTACCTGGAGAGCTTACAAGTCCTAGAGATGTTCTTCTAAATGTTTCTTGTGAGTCCAGTGCTTGGACAGAGAAATAGGCCTCAATCAAATCAGTCTTGCCTTCGGTTGCCGTGTAGAAAGACATTCTTTTTTGTTTTGTCTTCGTATCCCCCACCCCCCAAGTGTATGGCAGATAGAACTACCTGTCACAAGAAAACCAGGACTGTGGCACTGATTTCCTTTTACGTGGCTACAGGGTGATTTCACCCGCTTTGTGCAGGGAAATGAATAGGCCTGGACTGCCTGTGAAGGGAGGGTGTGGTGACTGATCTCTTGGATATGCTCAGCTGACTGGATTTGTTTCAGACTGGACAGGGCAAGGGTTCGGAGAACGTGCTGTAGGGAGCCGTGTGGATGATGGGGATGATGAAACCTAACCGGATCTTTGCCATTGGTTCCAGGTCCCGTTGCCCTGGAATTTTTGCTGTGATTTTGATAGAAGCAGAACAGTTCCCCGCATCCTTCCTATAGGCTTTAACTATTAGAGAAGTATGAAGATTAACCTGTCTGGCTGATGGCTTGGGCTGCCTTTTTTTCTCATGTTGCATGTTCTGCTGCTCTGTCTTTGTATACGCTTCATCTTGGGAGGGAGAAATAGACACTAGCACAAGGCCATAAACAAGCAGCCTAGCTGAGGTAAGCTTGATTCTACTTTGTCCTTTGAAAGCTTGTGACTGGAGCTTGGTTGCAAGTGGCCAACTCCCATTCTTATCAGCAGTGTGCTGCTGTTTCATGATAGTGGTGGCTTCTAGGGGGGAAAAAAAAGGTACTTGTTTGCCCTCTTATAAGAAAGTTGTTCTTTCCCATGTCATTCCCTAGCAGCTTTATGCTTGAGCTCTCTTCAGTGGGACAGGCAGATCAAATTCTGTATCCCAGAAGACATCTTAGGAGGGTGCGATGGCTCAGAGTCGTTCGTGTCATTCTACCCGTGCTCTGTGAGGTTTTTCTCCACCCATTCCCAACTCTTTAAAAACTAGGTAGAATTTCCTCTGTGTTGGTGAGTATGACCATAATTCTTTCTTGCTGCTGCTGAGATGTAGAGGTCTGAAGTGCTTCAGACTAAGAGAACGGAGCCAAGTCATTAGCAGGAGATCAGTGGTATGAATTCAGAGAAGTGAGAAACTGGAGGGAAGAGAAGATACTTCTAGAGAAAAGTCCATAATATGAAGGTTGTTTGCTGGAACCACTACTAGAGCTAGGATTTTTGGCACAGATTTTGCCACCTCAGCACAAAGCTGATCTTTCCAGGTCTACATGTGTTATTTAATGTGACGTCTCTTGTGCAGCACTGCATACGGCAGCCACAAAAGAAAATCCCTGCTCAGCGAGTATCTATCAGCATGGATGGATCAAAGGGGAGGGTGTGTTAGCTGAGAGTGTCATGATCCCCTCTCTCCTCAGAAGACCTAGGAAGAGTCTCAGCCTCTGAAGAGAGAGAAAAGTCTGTGGCTGACAGTCCTGAGCAGTCTGTGGGGAAGGTACTCTTGAACTGTAGAAGTTCAATAGATGGCGCAGGGCTATGCTGCTTATTTCCTGCTTGTAAGTCATCCAGTACCTCGCAGGAAAACTACCTTTTTGAGTCCTTTCACTAAGGCTGTCACTTTTGCCATGCCAGCTTGGGCTAAAGTCAAATGAGCTTTTTGTTGTTGTTTGTTTGTTTTTGAGGTTAATCCAGGATTAACTTTAGCACGCAGGCTGCTCAAGTGCTCTCTGTCCCTGGCAATGTGCATCTTTAAGATGACAGTTGATAGAAGTGTTTTGAATTTGTATGTGATCTGTGACAGCTTCTTCAGGGAGTGCCAGGCTGGAGAGATGATAGGGCCTTGTGGTTGTGCTCAGTTCATAGCTAGTCAAGTGTATTAATGGTGAGGGTTACCATTTTACAGTGGGGAGAGGAGAAGGTTAGCAGGAGGTAATGCATTGAGTCAGGAGCAGGCTTACTATGGAAAATCAGTTCAAAACTCTAGCATAATCCTGTTCTCTGAAGTACTGTGTGTCAGCATCCAGTTAAGCTTCAAAGGTGATTGTAGAAGCAACAGAGGAATGAACTTCTGCAGTTGTTTCTGCCAGTGCAGCACTTACCAAAGCCATCAGCAATGTCATAAACTGGATGGAGTTTGTGGATGGAAGAGAAAAATTTCCCTTTAACTTCTGAAAGGACAGTTAATAACACAGCAGTGCAGGCCTGGGCGACAGACAGATGGCAGAAAAGATGTGAATGTGCTTTCAGGAAAAGCAGTTCAGAAAGGTTTCAGCAAGGGAAGGAGAAGTTCTATGTTGTCATCTTTCAAAGTAGCAGGACTAGTGAAGGTAGGGCAGGCAAAAGAACTGAGGGCTGTGGCTCCTGGGGTCTGCCCATAGCTCTCTGGTGCCCTAGAGTTTGACCTTAGGAAAGCCATTAGATTGGACTGCTTCCATTTCTGGGTTTGCAAACTCCTGGTAGTGATGCTGACCTGTCTGAGAAGTGCTATGCCGTCAAGATCGGTGCATGTAAAGAAGTTTGAGAACTTTATACTGACAGGGTTGTAGAAAGGCACTGCCTTTTCACAGCCTTGCTTTTGTGCTTAAAATCAGAACAATTGTGGTGCCTTGCAGGTGATTGGAAGAAAAAATGATTAATATTGGCTTTTGACGGTGTTGATTTCTGAAGGTAAAGAGTCTGTACAGTCCCGTGACATAAAAGTATGTCAGACTTTCCCTACTCTTAGACTGTGAGGTTTTAGGTAGGGCCTTTCTTTGCCGTCGTTAAAACTAAATCGTTGACCATAATTTCTGATGATCGTGGGAACTAGAATGATAATTAATGCTGTAGTGCAGCAGGTTTTCTGTCTTCATCCAATGATGCTAGGTATTGTTGCAGAGTCTTGGTTTCTTCTATGAATCTGCTAAAACTCAAGAAATCATGAAATCTAATCCAGCTTAACGTTACACTGTCTTGAAGGTGCTTATTATCCTGGTACAAGATAGTGTTTTTGGTCCTGCCTGTGTGCAGAGCTGGGGCAGGTGGCACTTGCTCTGTGTAATACAGTCTTTCTGTTGATGGTACTTTGCTGTAATGAGCAGGAAGCAGTTGTAGATGGGCCTAATGGAAGGGATGTGGGGTTTTTTTTGTTTTTTTTTTTTGTTTTTTGTTTTAAACTCTGACTCACAACTGAATTAATGTTGCTTTTTTGTCTCTGCTGTGGCTGTCTTGTTTTGTGCTTGACCCGGACCAGAAAGAAGGCAGGATGTTCCAATCCATGATGTCTGTGATGATGTTCACCACGCATGACAACGTCACACACACTACTGCCCTGGTGACAGCGCTAGATAACGTGACAACTTTGTCCCCAACAACAACACAGGCAATCAATGACACCAACATCACTGTGCCACACAAGTGCCTGCTGTTGCTCTATGAGGACATTGGGAAATCCAGGTGAGAAGGGAAAGTTGGGACCAGAGACTGACCCTGGGCCAGGGGAAAGCTTTCTTTCTCAGAATTTGAATGAGGAGGAATTGGAGCTGGGACCTTGTCTTCTAGATGCTGAAGATCAGGAAAATACTATGTTTTATTTACTTCTTGCAGAGTCCGCTACTGGGATCTTTTGCTCCTGATTCCCAATGTGCTTTTCTTTATGTTTCTTCTCTGGAAGCTGCCCTCTGCCAGGGCCAAAATCCGTGTCACTTCCAGTCCAATCTTCACTACATTCTACATACTAGTGAGTACCACTATGTGCTTTTGAACTGATTGGAGGAGTGACAGATCTTTGTTACCGCTCATTAACAATATCACTGAAGCAATGGAGAGAACCTAGATCAGAGCTCTACAGGGATAAAATCTATTTCTAGATGCGGATGTACTGCAAGAAACAGTCATGTTCTTAAAGGTTTTTGTTTTTTGTTCCCCCCCCTCCCCACACTCTTTGAATGCTAATTTTCCTAAATTCTGGGTTTGGGTGGATTTTGTTCTGCTGTGGTTGTAGTTGTGGTATTTGTGTTTTTGTTTGCTTTGTTTTTGCTTTGTCATCTTTGTATCTTTGTCTTATGTTTTCCTTCCTTCTTTGAGAAAGTTATATGTGAAATGAAACCAGCTTCTTTTGGAGATAGTGAAAGTGAAACAATGGGGAATGGTTTGTGTGAAGCTGTTGGGAAGCTTGTTCATCTACTGTAGAAAACAGTGTTCTGGTTGGTCCAGGCATGTAGAAACCCAACCGTGTTAGCTTCTTTCCCATCATACTGATCATCTGAGGATGTTCTCATTGCTTCTTAAAATGGAAACAGAAAATATAGGCTGTACAGTCACAGTTCTCAAACATGTAAGATCTCTTGTCTGTTCCCTTTTCCCAGTTTAAAAGGCACAAGCAGATTCTGATCGTGTTAGGTGGTCTCTGCAGTAGTCTTTGAGCATCGTTTTGATTGCCTCATGAGGCAAGTCACAGTTAATGGAAGTGAAGCTAAGGACCTACATAGAGTTGTGTAGAAATGTCATTCAGAAGCTTTATCATGGGTGCATTTTTAGGCCCTGGCTTGTCTTAATATAACATAATGTGCCTGCTCTTTCTCAGTGAGATTAATACAGATTGTGTAAGTAAATACATGTTTGAGTTGGGTTAGATGAGCGGTATCTTTCTTCAAGCTATGTACAGGTACTGGCATGGCAAAACCCAAGAAATATCAAAAACAGTGCCAGTCTGGTGAGAAGTCCTGTTAGCTCTTATATGTCCAGAACATTGGCATTGGGCTTGTGCCCAATGTTTTGGATAACCAGGTACATAAAATGCTTCAGAGTTTAAAAAGAACAAAAAGTCTTTTCCAGTCTGGATTTAAATTTTCTATTATGTTTCCAGTAATAAGTTAGTGAGAAGCTAGTGCCAAAGGCTTTGGAAAGCAAAACTCCTGAGAAACGAAAGGAAAGGAAAAAAAGCGAACTGATTGTATGCTGTTGGCTTTTTCAAAACAGAATGAGATGCAGAAAGTGATGCAAAAGCCTTAAAGGGAAGTGTTTTTCACTTGGTTTGATCTTCTGGCATTTGCTCTTGGGAAATGAGGACGTAAGTGTGTTCTGTGAGGATTTCCTTTCAAACAGTTGTTTGTCACATCTCCGAGGAGTGCTTTCTGGTGCAGTCGGTGATTAAAGCTAAGTTAATAGATTGAGAGTCTCTTCCTACTTAGAGAAGAAACAAAAAGGGTGTGTTTACTTCTCCAATGACTTGTTGCTGCTCTAGAATAGCATTATATTCAGGGACTTCTCCCTTTTTGTCAATGTTCTCTCCCAGAGCTTCCCACCCCAGAAGGGAATGTCACGTTCTTGTCTTGTGCTGTGTGCGTTCCTTCCCCCTTTAAAGGGGAAGCATTCTGCTGTAGGTGCTTTGCTTCTAAGGTGGTTTGAGAACAGCACCTATAGTAAGCCTGGACTCTTTCCAATTTGTGATAAATCTAGCTGCGTCACTTATTGAGTGTTATAATAAATTAGCTCATGACTCTAGTGATTTCATCAAAAAAAATCTGTCTTTTTCAGGGGCTAAGCCTTCATTGCACAGTGGAGGGTAGAGATATCCAACTGAGCTCTTAATTGCATAGTATAGCTATGACAGCACAAGGGTTGGTAAATTAGCTGTGCTGAGTTCCATGCTGTCATGCTTAAATGGTACATGAGCTGGCTCAGGTATCCGTGTGTTGCACTGCACTGCAGGGTAAGAGGCTTTAAAGCTTTTGCCTACAGCTGACTTATCTTCTGCATTCCTGAGCATTGTCAGTGCTGAGTGAAAGAACTGTGGACTTCACCTCTATTGCAGATCTAAGTGTGGTAGTTACTATCAAGTGGCTTTGCTAATGGGATGCGTTTGGTCTGTTCAGTCATACCAAGCATTTTATCTTGTAATTTGGAGGGATATATTTTTATTTCAATTTTTCTCCTTCCCGGACCCAGTAGACTGAAGGGTGGGAAGGCTCTTTGCCTATAAAGGCATTATTATAAGGAGTGGATGAGGCTTCTTCAGAGCTGTGTAATCCAACAGTTGAAAGAATTTGTTCCTTCTAGGCTCTAAGTCAGCACTCCTATATCTAACAAGCCCAAAGAATCCTCTTGCTGGTTCCAGCAAATTAGTTTGAATTTGTGACGTGAAGTCCTCAGTACCCCTTACCTGGAAACTATATTCCAAAGGAATTTCTGGTAGCTGCTGCATATCTCCCTGTTGACATCAGTTCACTTTTGGTATCTTTTTATGTAGGTATTTGTGGTGGCTTTAGTTGGCATTGCCCGTGCTGTTGTCTCCATGACCGTCAGTGCCTCTGATGCTGCCACAGTTGCTGATAAGGTAGGTACAACACTGACTTCAGAGGCTCTGCTTTGTGCAGTCCTGTCACAGCAATCTGTTTCTGCTTCCCTCTTATGTGAACTCAGGAAGAATGTTTTATTTGCGGTAGTCGTAGCTGTGTGTGTTAAGGAATCCTGTTCTGATAATTGTATCTAAGTGATCACAACATCCAGGGCTGTAAAACAATGAACTTCCTAAATTAGACATGCAAATAGTGGCAGTAAAACTTTCTCTTGCAAAGATGGAATGACTCTTCTTTGCAAGAGCTAAACATTCAGATAGATACCTTAAAAGGATAAGCAACACCTGGTCTTTGTCATGCTTACCTGTATTTGTGTAACTCTTGGAAAAATACTGTGTGTGTATTTTTTTTTTCTTTTTTTCCCCACTTACTGAAAGCAAATAAAACTGAATTCCATTGTGAGCCTGATAGCTGAATGTCCTTGCAGCCACCCTGAGCGCAGGGCGAACCCTTTAGCAAACAGGAAATCAGGAAATAGCTTTGTACGTGCTGTTTCTTTGTAGACGTTTGACTTGTAGTAGAATATCACCTAAAACAAAGCTCTGTCATTCTTGAGCTGTTGGAGGCAGAACAGCCACCACAGAATGCGGTTCTCTAGCCTTTATTCTGTGGGATCAATGTGGTTCTCTTGCCTTTCTCTTATGTTACCTGTGAAAGCATTTTACTGTGCTGCTTCTGGGTGGCTGGATCTCTGTAGCATTTTCCTTAACCTCTGTTGAATAGATCTAGGTACAGGACTTCAGTAATGGAGAGTGGGTGAGAAGGTGCTTCTCTTCAGCTCTGTTAGTGTTGCTATTAAGCACTCCTTGCTGGGAAGTCGTACAGTAGGACAGCTTCTGTCAATTTTTCCTGTAGACACATGTTCTATTATGTTTGTGTTATTCTCTCTCACCTATATTTTCTATTTATTTTATGAGATGTTAGAAGTGTAATTATATTTTCCTAAGTATCTCACCAAACACCTTTTAAAATAACGTGTATCCTCAAGAGAGCATTGTTCAGAGGAAAAGGACTGAGCCAGGATTTTAGGTTCTTGCCTAGGTTCCCCACTAGTTTATTGCATGACTTTCTTGAAAGTTATTTAACCTGCTGTTTATTCACTTTTGTTTACTAAATGAAACATGGGAATGAAAATGACCAGCTGGAAGGAGGCAGTGCTTTACAGTCTACTTTAGATTTTGGGACTAGTGGCTTTGGAGAAGGTCAGAATACTGAATTTTTACAGTCATAAGTTTACTGCAGAATTTGCTGCTTTAAGAACTGGCCCTGTTTGCTATAATTCTAAGACCTTCTTGGGTTGGTTGTGTTTGGGAGTACAGCAGAAAGGACACAACCATTACAGGTGACAGAGCCTCAAGCGTGGTGAGCCACGGCCACTTCCTCTCTCAGCAAGCATGCCATTTCCTCACTCGCATGCATAAGTTCTGTTTCGTAGGCTGGGTCAGGTTCTGAGACAAGCACATAATTAGCCTTTCTATGAAGCATGATGAATGTCCGTGTAAATGTCCTGCTCCGTTCAGAGGCTGCTATCTCCTGGAGCAGAGAGTGGAGTTTCACTGTATTAACTTCCAATTGGTTCCACACTCCTAATCACATCTGTCTGGTTTCTGTTATCCCTCAGATCCTGTGGGAGATCACAAGGTTCTTCCTTCTGGCCATTGAGCTGAGCGTGGTGATTCTAGGCCTTGCCTTTGGTACGTGTCAGGAAGCTTTTGAATGCTTTGAATGTTTCCTGTTCCCCTTCTCTTCACAGAGACTGTGTCTGTAAGTTTGTGTGAATGCTGATCCTATAAAGTGAAAGATCTCTAGAATAAATATAGAGGACAAATTCAACAGTTTTTGTTAGAAATGGCTGAAAGCCCGATTACCTTCACAGTTCTTCTGACTTGTACAGTTTCGGAGTTTGTATGCGCATCGCTTCCCCTCCACCCCACCCTGCATGCACATAGTGAAGGATTGTACAGCTTAAGTGAAGAGGACTTTTATGCACGGATCAGCTGTCTGACTTCTTTGTTTCAACCCCATTTTATGTAAGAAGGATGATTCCTTTGGCAGTCCTTCTATCCCACCTTGGTTTGATTCCATGCTGGCTTCATCCAGCCCCTTTAGCCATCCCTGTAGCCTGTTACTCCACTTCCTTCAGCTGTGCAAGTGAAGAAGCTACGTGGAGCACTTGTTGATGTGGGCTAGGGGTTGGGGAGCAGGAAATTGGTAGGTATGTCTGTCAGGTCTGCCAATGGGACATCTGAGCACTGGTTCTTTGTTCTCTAAAGGGCTCGTAAAATAACTTGGGTTGGAAGGGACTTCTGGAGGTTGCCTGTTCCTCCATATTCCAGTGCAGATTCCTCCAGAGTGTGTAAAGCCTTCTTCTCTGCCCTAACCCAATTGCCCATCAACATTTTTCCTGAGAATAAAGTCTTCAGCTGTTCTATGTGGATGATACTGGAGTAATTCCTGATTCCTTCCCCCCCCACCTCCCTTTCCTTTTTTTTTTTTTATGGTAGCACCACTGGAAAGACTTAATTGCTTTCTGTATATTAGTGGGGCAGGAGGAAAGCAAGTTAAAATCTACTGTTTTATAGGTATCGTTTTGTCTGTGAAAGGCTTAATTCTCCAAACAGAAAAGCGGTCTACAGAGATTAAGTGAGCTTTAACCGTCCCTTGAAGGCTTCTGGAATTTTCCTACATTGATTTTGGAGATAGTTGATTTTTACTAGAGTTGGGAGCAAATTAGGATGTGATCCCATATTCCTTATTTCCAGGTCATCTGGAGAGCAAGTCGAGTGTGAAACGTGTTCTGGCAATCACCACAGTGCTGTCTCTGGCATATTCTGTCACTCAGGTGAGTACACTGGAGAAGAAAAGCTAGTCTTTGCAAAAGAGAGCTCTGCTTGGAATTAGGCAGTTTAGGTGTAGGATTCCTGTCTGGAATGTGGAACAAATGGCAGCTTTGCTGTTTAGATGAGGCTTTGGGGGATGACAGGATGCTTGTGGTGATGGATGAGGATCCCCAGAGTATACACCAAGACTAGATCTCTTCATGGCATGACTGGCTTGACCAGTGTCAAGAAATGAGATGAGGTTTAGGCAGATTGCCTTGTTTCATGAGTTTTGGAATAGGAGTGAAAATTCTTCATATCTGAGCAATGAGTTTGACTCTAGCTCAAGTTTTGCCAAAACTAGATGGAGAGACACAAAGTGCCCTTGTCAGATAAAGGCAGTGCAGTGAGCCCTTTCAGCCTCTTGTCCTCTGTCTCTTTGAGAACTAAGAGCTCTTGCTTCCCTTCAAACTAACAGTTGGCTTGCTAGCTCAGTTTATTAGCTGTGTCTCTACCTCTCTACAAACAATGCAGTGTATGTCTGGATTTATTCCTGGTATGTCAGTGGCCCTGTGCCTCTTTATCTGAGGCAGCGCCAGGATAACACACAGATCATTGTTCAGTGTTCAGGCTCTTGCTTGCAGGGGCAGCGAGCTGATTGTTAGCACATGATGCACTGGAGGAGCCTCATTAAATATCAAGTGTGTGAACTATATATCTGGATTCAATAACTGCTTGCAAGTGCCTTTCCTCTTTCCACTGCCTGTATATTAGTTTCTGTTCATACAGTTTTTCAGGTATACAGGTGGATAAGACAATTTCTTTCCTCCACTCTTGCACAAGTGCAGGTTTTTATTTCAGATTTTCAAATACAAAATGTTTGCTTTAGAGGTGGAAATGGAGGTGGAACTTTCTGTCTCAGACAGACAGCTGCTTCCATCTACTATCTTCCCTTCATTCAGGCTCCCTTCCAGGTGGTCATTGATGCTGTTTTTCCCTTGGACAGATTCCTGCCACTTCTCCCCTATATACACTTTTCATCTTCAGTTTCTTGCACCTCTCCTATATGAGCTTGACGTGACCTAAGCAGGCAAATGGTTGGGCCTTAGTGAGAAGGCAGAGACAATTGTTATCTGAACTTCCTTAAGCGTAGTCTCCTTTGTGCAGACGCTCACGGTAGTGAGGGTGCTGAGCATAACAGAATCATGATGGTACCACTTCTCTCCTAGGGGACTTTGGAAATCCTGTACCCTGATGCCCACCTCTCAGCAGAAGACTTCAACATCTATGGCCATGGAGGGAGACACTTCTGGCTTGCCAGCTCTTGTTTCTTCTTTCTGGTGAATACTAAGCGCGTGTTACACGCTCTGTCTTCCTTTTTGTATTTCCTAATTAAGACAAGGAGAATGATTTGTTTTTGGTAAGGCCATAGGTCCCCCCCCCAACCCCTTCCTGCTCCTGCAGTATTGATCCTTCTCATGGGGCAGGGAAGCTGAAGCAGATGACAATGTGGTGGAGTGATGTAAGCTCTGGCAGCTGAATTCCAGCTGAGCTGAAGATGTTCTTCACCTTCTTGTTTCCCAGTGACCAGCCAGCCTGTGTGTGCTGATGGAGGATGAGTTGTGTAGCTTTCACATCTGAACTAGGTTCAATATTGGGGGTCTATGTTCCCCGCAGAGCATCTCGGTACTCCCTAATGCCACACACCATCCCTGCGAAGCTAGTTGATTTTAGTTACCAAACAGCCATGGAACAGTTAGTTCTTTGTCTCAACAGGTCTATTCCTTGGTGGTGATTCTTCCAAAAACTCCTCTGAAAGACCGGATTTCTTTGCCCTGTAAGTGACTGTAGTGTGTTCCAGAATATAGATGGGGACAGCACTAGGATAAAGGACAGATGGGAATAAGAGGGTCCTATATCTGTACTGCAGGTGCATTCCACTAACTTGGGGTAAAGATACATAGCAAAGGACTGATAAGTTTTCTTGAAAAATAGTGTTCTGTGCCTTTCGGAGGCCGGGGCAGAATAGGAGTGACTACACTGCTACTTCAATAGTTAAGCCATCACATTAAGAAAACAAGACTTTTAGCTCAGTTATTGAAACAGGTATAATGTGACTGTCATGGTAAATACATCTTCAGAGAGCCATACAAAATGCACTTAATTGTGTAGTTTCTTTTGAAATGCATGTATGATGATGTATGTATGCTGGTCATCCACCTGGGAAATAAAAGTCCTGGGCTTCGCAGGTTAGTTGGGAGCTGCTTAATAAGTTTTGCCTGGGTGCTTACTTTAAGATGTTTCTTCCTTTTTTTTATTTTGTTGCAGATTATCTACAGTTCTTGAATAGGGAAATACTCTGTTAGTAAGATGCTTTCATTAGTGGGTTTTTTTTTTTTTCCCTCTAGTAATGTTGGCATCTATGTCTGGGTACCTTGAGGGAGGGGACATGTGGCACATGCTACAAGTAGGTGGTCCTGGGCCTCCTCTGCCCAGTGTTGATCTCTGGGGTACTCTCCTGCCAGCCTGCTATTCAGGTCTCCTGAGCAGCTGTGTTAGTGCTGCAGATCAGAATGGCACTGCTTCTGGTTCAGCTGTGTTTCTTTATGTCCAAGTATGTGACTGACAGTGGTTCTGGATGTCTGTTTGCCTATAACATCTTTGCATGTGTTGCCATGATGCTGCATTTTAAGACCCATCTGTGTGCCTGGTGTGTGTGCACGCACATACAGGAGGGCATGGTTTAGCCCATTATATCAGTTTTGGCAGCGTGGGACAGAAACATGCAGTCCTAACCCTTTAGGAATTCCAAGGAGCCCAGATGGTGAGATGCTTCCATTGGGTTTGCCATCTCTATCAAACAGGACCTATTATTTGTGCTGGGCTGGTGGTGATGAAGTTGAGTGTCACCCTTATGTCTTCCTGTCTTACAGCCAGGAAGAGTTTTTA